TTCCTGTCGACTAATTTCCCAAGTAAACTCAATATTTTCATGGAAGGAAATTGTTTAATTCCTCCTCCCCGTGAAGCCATATCATGAAAACATCGTCCAAAAAACGCCACCAAACCCAAGGTTTAAGCTCGCAAGAATCGTTCCTCGAAATAGCCCATAAATAAATTTGCAAAACCTGGCGCAAATTTTGTCCCAATAGCCGTTCTCAATTTTTGTCGAAACATATTTTCATCAAATTCAAAAAAATTATTTTCCAAAACCAATTTGGCAAGTGAGATTAAATCATCGACCGGCAAGTCCTTTTCTGCCTTATTCATTGCTAATCTGAGAGCCTCAAGACCTTCGCTGTGTGGTATATGAGGATATAATCCCACTACATCCATAGTGCACAAAATTGCAGTCGATGGGATATGACCTAAGTCTTCCAAACGTTGCAAAAAATGTGTACTATCCTTTATTACAGACGGCACACCTTCCACCAATGGTTGAATATGAAAATCCAGAAACTCCGACACTCGTTCTGTAGCCGTACCACAGTTGGATATAACCGGTCTACCTGGCACATTTTCAAGCCGCTTGTGAATTTTAGGCAATAAATAAAATCTACCCAACCGTGGTCTCGGCACAACGAGGTATTCTAAATTTTTACTCGAAATATAACCTTTATCTAACAATGGTTTAAATGCTTGTTTAACTCGATCTGAAATATCATTTAAAGGGTTTTCCTGAAGTTTCTCATAAACAACCATATCGTTAAGGTGCCTATATGCCTCACTACAGTAATCTTTTCTGTCCCGAACTATAACCGCAGAACCTTTGTCTGCTTCCTTAATAATAGTATCCCTATAGTTTTTCAAATCCTTCAACGCCTTTATTTCCTCAACAGAAAGATTACTGTAGTTTCTCCCACCCGTAGTAATGGCAGAAACTTTTTCTTCTAAATTGGAACAATACACTTCTATAGCCGGATCTACCTCACTCGGCACCCAAGATGACTTCACCTTAAATTGCCTAAAATTCTGGCTTGACTCCTCGGTCCCGTAATTAGCCTTAGATAAAAAATATTCTTTACACCTAATTTTGCGACCAAATTCCTTAACATCCCTTTTAATAGCCGACCAATCTAGTTCTTTAGGAGTCGGACAGAACTTAAGTAAATATTATTATTATTATTAAAAATTTCCAAACTAGCAGTAACAACTGAATTACTTTGGAATTACAGGGTATAAGAACATAGGTATTCAATCTATTCTATATTTACAGGTAAAAATAGGTAAGTTAGATAAAAATAACGATAATAATCTAAAGTTTACTTATTATTATAAGCACGAGACGCAGCAGGAATGAAACTGTTCGAAAAACGTTCAGTTCTACACCTAGGTACTAATAAGTTGGGATAAGACCTCAGATTATAAGTTTGAAGACTTTTAGGCGGTACTAAGGCATTCAGTTTATGAGTGGGTTCCAACATCTTCGAAAAAAGTCGCTTGCAAAGAACAGTTCTACGTTCGTAAAGAGTCATCAAGTTAGCTTTAAGCAAACATTCAGCATAGATAGTTCCAGGGAAAATAATTTTTAATGCCCTTTTTTGTATTTTTTCAACTTGATCACTCAGGTAATGAGGAAGGCCATAATGCCACACCTGACAAGCATATTCGACAATTGGTCGAATATGTGTACAATAGGTTGAGATCAGAATATGAGAAGGTAAAGCATTTCTTTTAAGAAGGCGCAGACCGTACAAACGCTTCGCGGCTTTCTTGCAAATGTAGTCAATATGGCAGTTCCATTTGAGGTCGTCCGAAAGGACAACGCCCAATAGTTTGGCCTCGGAAACGACGTCGACCTCTTGACCGCGAATGGTAATAGGGGCAAACGATGGAGTAAGCTTAGAAAAGCAGACACGCAATTCTTTGGTCTTTGATACGTTTAACTTCATATTATTGTCTGATGACCATTCAGAGCAGCTGATGATGTTAGCGGGTAACTGGGAAGGGGAATTGTTTGATATTATTTCCCAAAGGCTAGTATCATCGACAAATTTAACAGTTTCATCCGCTACAGCCAAGTCATTTATCATGATCAAAAATAATAGCGGGCCAAGCTTCGTTCCTTGTGGGACGCCGGCGTTTAAAAACTTCCACTCAGAAAAGAACTGACCAACACGGGTTCTTTGTTGTCTGCCTGTTAGGAAGTTTGCGATCCAGTTGAGTAACACGGGATGAATTTCCATGTCTTTCAATTTTTCCAACAGAATGTTATGATCTAATCTATCAAACGCCTTGGAAAAATCAAGTAAACAAATCCGTATAGTGTTACCTTGTTTGTCAGCTGCTTCAAACCATTTATGTAGCATGTAGATTAATGCCATACTAGTGCTTGAACCCTTCAGCGAACCAAATTGCAAGGAATCAATTTTTTTTGAGACGGAGTCAAGTAGCCATTTGTAGGGAAAGGATTCAAGAATCTTGCTGATAATTGGTGTGAGGGAAATTGGTCTGAAGTCAGAATCAACATCTTTAGGAGGCGAAGATTTTTGAACTGGTGTAATATTTGCTGCCTTCCATATTGAGGGAACAAATCCTTCACGAACTGATGAATTAAAAATAGAACACAAAGGTCGACACAACACTGAAGCGTTTTCCCGGAGAAGCCAAGAAGGAATTTCATCGGGACCAGCAGATGAATGAAGTTTAGATGATAATAGGGCCTTTTCAGTCTCCTCGACAGAGATGCAGAAATCATCTGGAATGTCATTTGTGGGAAGGGGGAGCCAGTTTAGATTGGGTAAGGAGGACCCTACAGCAACGAACTTGTCGTTGAGCAAATTTGCTAAATCGGCATCAGAGTAGGATTTACCTTGGAACATCATTGTAGATACATTCTTAGAAGACTGAAGACCGGCAATATTCTTCACCGCTGACCACCATTTACGAGAATCGGACTGTTGAACGCCCGCGATACTTTTATTGTAGTAATTTAGTCGTGCCTTCTTGCAAAGTGCATTGACTTTGTTTCGATAGAATCTGAACATCAGGTTATTGCCAGCCGCCCATGCTGTCTGCCGCTTGGAAATGAGAGATTTTATTTCGGAAGTAATCCAGGGCTTGTCACTAGAATCAATTTTGATTTGTTTCCAAGGCAAATGTTCGTTTATGATATTATCAACGATGGTGGAAAAATACTGGAACTGCTCGTCACAAGATTCCATATGGTGCAAAGGTAACCAATTAACTTTCGACAGATGATCGCTAACAATTCGACGATTGGTTGGGCGAGAGTCTCGTACTAAACGTGTAGACCTTGTGCCACCATAAGAGTTAGCTGGAAGAGGTTTAAGAACGATGGAATTATGATCGGAATGTCCAATTGGAGAAATTACCAGGGCAGAATTATAAAATTTAGAAATGTTGGTAAATATTTTATCTAAAATATTCTTTCCTCTAGTAGCGTCTTTGACTAACTGCTTGAGGTTAAAGGAACTGCATAACTGGCGATGTTTAAATTGGTTAAAATCTCCGGCCAAAATAATTCCTGCACCGGGATTGGTGGAAAGGACAGAATCAATTGATTCGGTAAGGTGTGAAAGAAGGGCTTTATCGTCACTTCCAGGTGGATGGTACACGATTCCCAATACAATTGAATTTAAACCACGAGGCAAGCGGTGAGGTTTTAAGAGTAACCAAAGCGACTCATATTCGTGACTTTCAATCTCTTTAAGATGAATGAAAGGAAGCATGTCCTTTACAAAGACACAGACTCCACCTCCTCGTCTGCCGTCAGAACGATCATGCCTCAGTAAGGAATAACCGCATAAATCTATTGCTGAATTAGGAACATTTGAAGAAAGCCACGTTTCGGTAACAACGACAATGTCTGATGTATAGGATTTTACTGTAGCAGACAGTTCGTCAATCTTGCTGATCAGCGATCTTGAATTAGAAACAAATAAATTCGGTAGAGAAGAGAGTAAGGGCGTTTTTTTGGTTTGGTGGCCACTAATGTAAATTAAATTATTTCTACGGTTGAAACTTTTCCCTGACGGGTAATAACTTGAACGGGTCACTCTCGTATGACGATGGGAAACTCGGACGGGGATAGTATAGGACGGCAATGTTACATTCTGGTTATCCGGCTGACCAGATCTAAATGTCTGTACCAATCCGGAGCACGGTGGTACGAACGCCGTATCCGAAAATTTTGATGTGCTACGCCTCTTGGGGGAGTAACAGGTGTACGCATCAGAAGGGAATGAATACCCTTTTGCGATCGTGGGGGTTTCGCGAGTCCATTCTGTAATTTCTTAAAATGAGTTTTTCCTTGTTTGTTCGCTTTGCCTTTTATTTCATCATGTTGGTTTAGCTGTTTAGGAAACTGCTCAATCAAAGGGAGTCGACTTATCCAATCAGAATAACTTAGTTTATGGTGTTTATCGTAGTGTTTACTTGGCTTGCCGACGTAATGCGTGATTCCTTCTGGATTAAGTAATTTCGATTTAGTGTATGTTGTTGTATGCTTGGTTGATTTAGGCCCTTTATGTGATAGGCTATCATTTTCGCTCGGTTGAGAACATTCAGTTGGACTTCGCAATAAGGCAGCACATTGATTGTCAATAACAGGTATGTGACACTCGGCATTGTTACAACTAATTTCTCGATTATTCTCTGCCATAAAAGAAACATTGGTACCGCTAATATCTGGTGCGGGCACTAAATTTGGTTCTGACTGAAGAGAAGCGTAGGTGTCTTTGAACTCGGCAACTTGAAGATCGTTAAATGAGCGGTTATTGTTATCTTGATGTTCGGTTTGGCTTTGTTTAGAAATTGCCAACTTTGTCAATTTTCAATTTTTCAATTTTATTATTAGATATCCATCTTTGGCATATAGAAATACAATGGATTTACAAGTTAAAAATATTATACTAAAATACATATATAAC